GGATGGATAAATGAAGGGACATCTCAGATTTAAGACATTTAGGTATGTTGATTACAACCCAAGAATGGTAATATTTTAAATTTAACAACATAATCCCCCTTCTTTTTCAGGGATTGCCTTGCTCGTATCAGTACTAAGTGTGTTTCCTGTTCTGTTATGATTCTCAAAGTGATACTCTCTTGACTGGTAGCTAAGTTCAAGAGTTTTCAGGAACTTTATTTTAAAGATAGTCATTCCACTGCCAGACAGTCCAACCTGAAAGGACAAGATGACAAATCAGCTTTTCAGTTCAGCCAGGCTTGTTACTTCCAAAGACAGTCTTTCTGTCTGACAGCTGAATTATTTCTGAAACCCCAAAGGACCTATGATGGTATATGTAAGCTATTATAATGACCCAAGCTCTTCCTCTCTTCATCCCTTGAATGGAGATGGGGCAGTTTCTCATGGTTAAGCCAAAATATTCCTGCAACAGCACCTGTTCTGTCTGATTGCTACAGTAGTTACCAATCTAGGGATGACAGAGAAAGGTGACTGGGTAGTAGTGGGCAGGCATGGAGCAGTCTGCTTGGCCATATTTATAACAGCACTTCCAATACTAACCCTGGTGACACTTATACTCAGAACGACTCTATGTTGTATGATCCATTTGTAGAATTCCTATTTACTTTCAACCAAACCAGCTGAATTCTTCGCAGTTTCTGATTCCGCTTTCCTTGAAGACTGCCTGTGCAACCCAAGGGCCTTGAGATTTACCTTTCTACAATGCATGAATAGTTTTCAGTGATGGAACTCAGGAAGAAATCTCTAATCTCCATCTATTACTTCAAATGGGACATAATGGTGATTTCTCTGCTATTACTAGCACATACTGTTATCCCATTGCACCTATAGAACCATTCAGGCTCATTTTTTGATTAAGTTTATTCTTACGTTTAACAGCATCCACATATCTGGAAGCAAAAATAATTCAAAAAAGTTCCCTATTCAGACTAATACCTGCCATCATCAGCCCTCCAACTGGAACTTTAAAAAACTTATTTTATTTCACACCCCAGTCCAATCATTACACTCTTAAATTTAATGCTGGGAATTGTCAGTGAACCAAGTTTCTACCTGAAGTCATCATTTTATTCATATCATATGCAGCATCACTCAAGTAAAGTGATATAAATTATCATCCTTCCTAACACAGTATCTATACTTCCTGCTTCCACCCACGGGTGGGAGAGGGGGAAAAGAAAAAAGATTAACTTTATTCCATCTCTCTTCTGAGAGTTAAGATGGATGACTTCAACAAATGATGATGGCTGAAGCCATACTGCTGTAGAGCAATATTTATCTAATGTAACATTATTTATCCAGATGCTTCAATATTGCATACATCCAAATTGGGGGGGCAGGGGGAGATAGGAAGGTGAGCATTGAGGCCCCCACCGGGACCTACAATTTTTATAGCATGCTGGGGGAGCCTCAAAAAGAAAAAGATTGAGAACCCCTACTCTACATCATAGAATACGCCTGAACAGTGAAAAACAAGCTCAAGTTGGGGAGCCTAAGCTTAAAATGCAACCGTTTTCCCTGTCCTTTTGGATGCATTTTTTCCTAAACTTCAAGAGCAAAACAGGAAATCAAAATGCTCAAGTGATTTTATTCTGAGTATCACTTACTCTACAGTTCACTTATACATACAGGCAGCAGCACTAGCTGTTGCTGTCAGAGGGGAGAGAAATGTGTGTGTACTTTGAGTGATTCACTTATAAATCAGACAAACAAGAACAAACTGCAAATATTTCCTGGGGGATTTTCTTATGGTTAAGCCAAGAATACTCCTGCAACAGCACCTGTTCTGCCTGATTGCTACAGTAGATACCAATCCAGCTCAGCCAGTTGTATAGCCAGACTTAATACATCTATATTAAGAGATGATTTAATCAACTTCTAAAATGAAAACTGACTAGATTTTTATCCATCGTTATTTGATATCTTTAAGTAAAAGAGAATAATAATGGAACCACAAAATGGTCTTCAACTATTTGAATTGTTATAATGCTATTTTCCAGCAGGCTTGGCACAGATAATAAGGATGCTCTAGATCAGTTAGTGTTAGCTTTACATTCGTCTGAGTTACATACTCACATTTCTATCTTTTTTCAGAAGCCAGCTGAAGTATCAGTCACCAACAATAAGTTAAACAATGGCTGGAGGTGTACAGATATTGACACAGCTGCTCCTACATTCATGAGAGACCTGAGTCTCAACTCAACATTTGAGTACTTCATCTATAATTCCACTTTAGGTACCTTTTCTGCTGTGGATAATAAGCACTAGCAACTTTAGTACCCCTATTCTGCTTGATTTAATAAGTAACTTGTATTCTTATTCGGCAAAACCTTGTCGGAATAATCTGTTCTGTTTGGCAGTGTGCATCAGAAAAAGCCAAGAGCAAATAAAGGAAATAAAGAAAAGGGGTAGAAATATGTAGCACTGAAAATAAGGCAATACAAACAATTGTGATTAGGTGAATGCAGAGACTGAAAGTCTGCTGGAAATACTGCAAAATCTTTCATTTACAGCAGGCCTTTTCGCAAAGACTTTCAAAGACTACGCTCCCTTTCCACTGCCAAAAGCACCAACTAACCAACCAACCAATCCTCAAACAAAATCAATATTAAATAAAGTTACAATTTTAAAAAACACCTGCTTTTATCCCACCATGGGAGAAGTCCCTGAGACTTCAGGACATCTACCAGAGACTTGGCTACTACTATCAATTTTACAGAAAAGGTGCTCAGATACTACAGTGATGGGTAGCAGGAAAAAAACAAAGATTGTTAACATACTAGACCAGTGGTTCTCAAACTTGTGTATTGGTGACCCCTTTCACACAGCAAGCCTATGAGTGTGACCCCCCTTATATATTAAAAACACTTTTTGAATATATATATTTAACACCATTATTAATGCTGGAGGCAAAGCAGGGTTTGGGGCTGGAGGCTAACAGCTCGCAACCCTGCATGTAATAACTCACGACACCCCCCCCCCCTCCCAGTCTGTACTAGACTATGAGGAGCAATGGCTCCAAGCATGGTAGTGTACGCTCAATTAAGGGACCTTTTGGAAGTGCCCTATGACTGTGTTACTTTGGCTGTTGATTTAATAAAGTAAATTGTAGTGCCGCTGCTGCTTTGGAGCCCCTTCCACTGATTGTGCGGATTTGTCCCCTTCCTTTTCTGGAGTGGGGTGGCATCCCATGCACCCCAACTGTACAGTCTATCCAGAATTGAGAAACTTTCTAGCCTGACTGGGAAATATTGAAGAAACTTGTTCAGTTAAACTAGAGAGAATTTTATGACCTTGGAAGCATTTACATTTCCTAATCAGTATATTGTCACCATTCTAGGCAGCATGCAATCTGAGCATATACAAGTATTTTTGTCAACTGAAGACTTCAGTTGGCCACATAACTTTGTGATAGACCTTTAGACTCATGGGCTCCATAGCTACAGACACTCCTCTACCATGTACACATTTTTAATTGAGGACCAACACATGTTTTTAGAAGGCTGTCAAAAAATAGTACAATTCATAAAAGAAGTGTTTATACCAAATGTGCATCAGGAACTTCACAAAACAAGCAGCCCAAGGTCCTGCCCTGAGGAGCTTACAATCTAGAATTTAGTATCATATATGTGGGAAGAAGCGAACAATTAAAAGATGCCAAGGAAGGACAGAGTAAGATTATGTGGTGGCTCTGTCTTCATTTAGTGATCGAAATTCTCATCTTATTCCTGAATACACAAGAATCCAAAGCACACACGATTAGCATGTAAACTGTGGATTCAAAGCAGGATGTCCATATAGCCCATACACCTTCCAGCAAAAATCTTAAAGTTGTTTCAACTCCCAAGTTGTCTGACCAGAGAATGACAAAGTGAACTGAAGTGACAAATACAGCTGTAGCCATTTGTGTCCTTTCCAAGTAGTAACATCATTTTACGCACATGGCTACCATTAAAAAAACAAAAAGACAGCTCTGAGCAGGCCGAAGTGACAGAGTCACGAGTGTACACAAGGCCTCAAAAGTCTCTGCATTCAAACAGCCTTTTTCCCCATATGAAGTTTGTCTGCTCATGATTTTCCCTATTCCTTTTGCCACTTTTCCTCCAAAGTAGTCTAATATGAACCCCACCTAGTCATCTTCTGACTTACAGTAATGCCTCACTTAACGTCGTCCCGTTTAACATTGTTTCGTTGTTACGTTGCTGATCAATTAGAGAACATGCTCGTTTAAAGTTGCACAATGCTCGCTTCTAACGTCGTTTGGCAGCCGCCTGCTTTGTCCACTGCTTGCAGAAAGAGCAGCCTGTTGGAGATAGCTGGTGGGGGCTTGGAACCAGGGTGGACCAGCATAGGGTTACCATTTCTAATAAATACAAAAAGAGGACCCTCCACGGGCCCTGGGACCGCCCATTTCCCCACCCCTAGCCCCGCCCCAACTCTGCCCCTTCCCCGCCCTAACTCCGCCCCCTCCTCCCTCCCACTCCCAGCCACGGGGAAAGGGCTGCCCCAGGGCTACCGGCTTCACGGTTTGCCGGGCAGCCCCCAGACCCTGCGCCCCCGGCCGGCGCTTCCCCAGCGCAGCTGGAGCTCAGGAGGAGAAGCGCCCAGCCGGGGGCGCAGGGTCTGGAGGCTGCCCGGCAAACCGTGAAGCCGGTAGCGCTCGGGCTTTGGGCAGCCCCCTTGCCTCCGGACCCTGCGCCCCCAGCCGGGCACTTCCCCTCCCGGGCTCCGGCGGCGCAGGGTCCGGAGGCACGGGGGCTGCCCGAAGCCGGTAGCGCTCGGGCAGCCCGGCTCTTAAACAGAGCCGAAGAGTCGGGGAGAAGCCTCCGGGCAGAAGATAAATTGAAAAGATTCTTTAGAAGTATTAGAGTAAGCTCCCACTGAAGTTAAACAACTGTTAACCATTCAAATTTACAAGTAAAAGTAAAGAGAAATCTTACCTCAAAATTTAAGTTCATTTAATTAAAAAAACCAAGGTTGGCTGAAAGTGTTGCTTGACCATAGGGAATATTTCCAGTCACCAGATCTGTAACATCAGGAAATAAACAAATTACTTTCTTATTTACAATCCATTCACTTCTAGTCTTCAAGTGCCTCACTGCAGCACATTGGGAAGGAAGTAACTCAGGAAAATATGAGTTTCCTTTTTCTCCATGAAAGTCGGGCATTTGCAGTGCCAATAAGAATAGAGCTGTTCAGATACACTTAATTTCATTCTCTTAAAATTGTATGTCTCCATATCACATATGCAGACTGACATTTAAAGCTGGCGTTCAAAGAGACATGGCCCAAGTGCAGCTCAGTACCTTGACAAAACTTATTAATATTGGTTTGAAACAATATTGGTTTTTAATATTAATACAATATTAATATAATGGTTTGAAACAAATAAGACAAAGCCTTTTAAAAAGACTGAAAAAGTTAATTGAATAATCTCTGTTTCAAATTTTAACCAAAAAACAAAACAAACAAAAAACAAAAACAAAAAACAAACTTAGCATACAGGTTTCATTCTCATCTGCAAAGGACAAAAAACAAGTCACTGAGCCTAAACGTAATTGAGTTATAAGTTTAAACTTAAACATCTTTTTTTTGAAGAACCATGAGAAGAGCAGTACTTTTTCTTTGAACACCAGCAAAAATTACTGTGGCAACCTCTCCAAGCGTAGCAATATGAAGGGACAAGCGGAAACAAGCCCTCAGATATTGAATGTGAACAGAGTGTATTTTTTAAAATATGTATATTTCTTGATCCTTTTCTTTAGTATCCATCCCTAGTTCTTGGCACTTTACAGCAACTGAAATATATACGAAGTCACATTACTGCACTCTGTTCCACATTTTGACCATCTACGTTTTGGTTTGGTCTACATTTCTTTTTATAAAGAGAATGAAGTTTATGGCCTTGTCTACACTAGAAAGTTGTAACCCTTTTGCCATACTAGTAAAGTTAACTGCATCTACTTTACAGGGATTGAACTATTTGATGTTGGTTAAGAAAGTGATCCGTACCAGTATAGCTCTTCCTCTATGGGAAAGGAAATAAACTATAATAGTATAAGGCAGCTTTATGCCAGCCTAACTGCATCCGCATTAAGGATTGTACCAGTATAAATAATAACTGTATCAGTAAAAAAAAAATCCCATTCCTAACCAACATAATTAGACCAGTGCAACTTTCAAGTCTAGATCAGGCCTATGGTAAAGCAACTAGAATATTCAACTAAACAGAGTCAAATAAAAGCAGCTATCCTGTGCCCTATGGACTGCTCGCTTAAATTCAGTATCTTTCTACTCAAAGTCATCTTTAACACACAGAATTTTGTATACATAATACATTCCCTTAGGAGGTTTGTGTACAAAGAATTTAGTTGGAATGCAGAAATTGCATAGGTGTTATTATACACATGTATTCATATTACAATAGCACCCAAAAGCCCCAGTCAGTACAGGGCCTCGCTTGTGCTAGGTCCCTACTTTCAAGAGCTCACCATCTACTTTTTACAATTATATTTGTAGAAGTTATCTGATGCTACTCAAGAGTAAAGGTGTTAGCTCACAACTGCATTCAAATGTCACAACTATTCTATTTTAGATTTAACTGATCAGCTATCTGAGGTAGCATTAAGCATTACAATTTGTACAAATTTGAAAATTTCTAAAAAGGTGTCAGTTACTTAACTTTAAATATTAGTGTCCAGTTGCGGTATTACGGTCACCTGCATCTCACTACACCAACACTGTATTTCACGTTCACTGATACTCCATTTTAAATTCTTTGTTAGTAAGAGGCACAGTCTTGGGGGCCCTGTTGGATCTCCAACTTCTTAGATTATCATGCAATAATCAAGAATGTTTTCACCTTAATTTGGCGACTTAGTTACTGTAAGCCTGGTCTTTTCCACATCTACATAGAAAACTAATTGCATGATGAGTGTAATATATTTGGAGACCACTGAAACCTCAGCAACTGCACAAGATGGCAGCCCCCCACTCAGTGTTGCTTCTTGCTAGTAGCATATGACACCTGATATCCATATCCACCAAACATTTTCCTAGTTCAGTGTAAGATGCTGGTTTTGACCCAAGTGGTTTGGAAACTGGTCACCTTGGAGATTACCCCTCAATTTCTGTGATGCTCAAGCAAAGGCAATCAACTCTGGCACTTTAAAAATCCTGATGTAACCGGGGAGACCATGGTGACGTAATGTTCAGTGAGAAGTTCGTACTTAAACTTGCTCTGACAAAGCCAGTGTGTTGGCCTTCAGATCACTTTGAGAGGCTTATCTACTCAAACAAGCTTTACCCAGACATATGGGAAAGTTCATTGTCCCTTTCACATGTGTGAGAATGTATTTGTAGCACATGCTAAATATGAAGAAATTAGTAAAGAGCATTGAAAAGGATTTGGGGTTTATTTGAAGTCTATGTCTTAAGCAGCTACATGCTGCTGAAACTAGGGATTACCTGAACTTGTATTAGGTAACATAGAACATTTACATTCTAGAAATGGAAATTTAGTACACACTGTACAAGTTTTGTGGTTGGGTTTTGGGGTGTTTTTTTTTTGCTTTCACCAATGTTTTATTTTAGTATTCATCTGAATATTAGGCAGCTGTAGAAAGAACTTTGTATGTTTATTTTTCAACAAGATTTGTTGCCACTGTGATAGCATTTACTTCTCACTTCTTCTCAAAGCGATAATTAGAGCTAACCAGAGTCTAAAAATGTATAATCATTGTTTATTCATCCTATTGTCCTCATTTCCTGAAACGCAGCCAGAAGAGGAAACTGAACTGCCTAAAGCTTGCTCAGCACATTATCTGCCCTGAATCCTTGGTGGGTCTACAATGTGAACCTACTTTTTATTGGAAAAAACATGAGTACATACTACATAAACCCAGATTCACCTACAACGTGTCACAGGACCTTCTGACTGGCTTTTACACCAACTCTTATTTTTAGCTAAGCTGTAGTCTGATCACTGCAAAATATCCGGGCATACAAAATTATTCATCTGAGTATAGGTGATCTTAGTCCAATGACAAGAGAAACATCCTCTGCAGTAAAAAGTTAAGCACACTGCAGATTGTCTGATATTCCTGGGTCAATACCCTTGCAGGAGTCTATACAAGTCATATTGTACACTCGAAGTAGATGACTCATCTGTGGTTACAAAACCATTTCCCAGAGATTTCACATCATGAGAATCAAAAGCAAGGTGGGCTAACTGCAATAGACTTAAGGAAATTATGATTGCAGGTTTACTGAGATTACATGGACAGATTCTATCTTTCACTTATATTATGTTTTTGGATTGTGGAATATATTTCTGCCAAACAATTTCCCTTGAGTTCATGGATCTTCTTCCTATTTATATGATGCTGTGGAAAAGCAGGATGGTCTAGCTAACCAAACATGGACTGCAATTCAGATATTCCTAAATTTTAGTCCTGGCTGTGCCACCAGTTTGCTGTATGAACTTATCTATGTCTTTAAATCGGTCTCTCAGCTTTCCCCGCTATGAAATGGGAATACTACTTCCCCACTTACACAGCGTACTGTGAAGTTTAATTAGCTGTCAGCACTTCAGAACTGTTTCTTTTCCTTAGCAACAGGGCTATGTACATAAGGCTCTGCAGCCACTCAAAAACAGCTGTATTAACGATCAACAAGGTGTCATACAAACCAAAATGACTGTTTGCTCCTCAGCCTGCCTCTTGAAGAACACTGCAGGAGAGGAGGCTACGTAACTGACTATGAGTGGCGGAATTCAGGGCATGCAGCAGCATGAGGGTCAGAAGTGGCTTGCACACCGATCTTGGGACGCTGGAGAAAGTGGCTGCCAAGTCCAAGGATGTACAAAATGCAAGAGCAGAGCTCCACTTTCATCACATTTGGGATCTTTCCCTCCTGCTCAGCTCCTTTGCCTGCAAGAAAGGAACCATGTCCCCTTGTGGCTTTGAACTTAGGTGGTAGCTACATAATGCACCAGGCTCCTTCTGCTGCCTATAAGACAGTTCATCTCTTTCCACAACGCCCCCGCCCCCTCATTTCATTTGATTATTTACATTTGATGCTTTTGATCATACAACATTCTCAGAACACTGCATACTCAACACCGTCGTTATAACGCCCTTCACAATTACGAACCTTGGGCTATAGAAAACCCAGTCCCTGGATCCCACCTCGAGCCCTGCTGGTGCAGAGGGGCCCTAGAACTCCTCATGTCCTAGGGCCAGAAGAGCTGCCCCCCCTGGGTGCAGAGGAGCTGGGGGAGCTGTCAGCTCGCATTGCACGGCTTGAGGTGTCAACCGCCTCCCCTCCCGCCTTCAGGGCTCATTCACTATAACGAACCCCTGGCTATAACAAACAAATGGCTTGGATCCCCAGGGGTTCATTACAGCAAGGGTGTACTGGAATTCCATTACATTCTTCTGCATCAACTGGGGTGGGGAGACTTACCATATATTTAGGTCTGATGTACAATGGGCTGTTAATCGTATTACCATCTTTGCAAAGCAAGAGGAATGATATCACCCATAATTAAGAACTGTACTTGCCAGTCTGGCCAGGCATGCAACAGGTCCCACGGAAGGCAAAGTGGTGGCAATAAGCATCTACATATAACCAAGGAAAAGAGCTACTGACATTTCTAAACAGCAATTCCATAGAAGCAATGGCCACGGAGCAAGCCAGTACTGAAAGCAATTAAGAGTAGTGCATTTACAGACAACGGTACTGGTAAATCTAACTACCACATAAGAAATTTCCTGTTTGGTTTAGTGCCTTATATCTGTGTCAGGCAAGATAGAAATTCCATCTCAACAGAAGTTTAGATAAAGATGTACAAATGAATCACAGAAAAATATTTAAAAGCTGAGCAAATCATTTAGCCTCTACCTCAGTTCTCCCATTTTTATAGAAGAGAAGGAGGTAATTTAAGGTTTGTTATGCAAATTGAGACCCTTTGATAACACATGCCATATAAAGAAATACTATTTTATTAGACACTTAAGTTAGTTG